CGGAGCCAGTTGTTCATTGGTCCGTCACTTCGCTTCTCGCTTTTTCTTGCAGAGTCACGTAAATCTATATTTATTTATTTAAGTTTTTCAAAAATCCACAGACTCACTGGGGTCCAAGGCAACGGGTCAGAAATCGCGCCCCAGTAAACGTGAGATTTTAGAAAAAATTCGCTGCTAAATTATTTGGCTGAGGATCAAACTTTTAAAGGTTGAGCGACAAAAGCACGCGTTGCAACTCGTCGATTGAAAACAGATATGTGAAATCCACATCTACTTTGAAATTATTAAATTTCTTCTGACCTAAAAGTTATTTGGGGCGCGTTTTTTGACCCGTTGCCTTGGACCCAAGTGCAGACTGATAGGGGGACCAACAGACGCGTGTAGCGTTTTATTTATAATGAAGATAGCTATGGTCGGTTTCAAAATTTTCAGTTCTTGTTCTTGTTCCAGGTCATCTTCTCCCTCGCACATCGACATGACGTAGCAGCAACAGTCGAGACTGCAATTGGAGGAATCATCCGCCCTATCTCATTCTCTCAAACGGCCAAAAATGCATTCTCAGCTGGAATGACGCGTTCTGTGATTTACAGTCTCGCCAAAATGAGCAAGTTCTTGAAAAGCAAGTAATCTAAATATGAAGAATTTTAGTTGTGGCTAGTGTGTTTTTCAATGTGATTTCAGTTTTGTTTGGTTTTTAATAAAATACATTTATTGTTCAAACTGATTTTGAGTTTCATACAAACAAAAGTGTAACAACCTGAAGATAGACCTCGTGAAGAAGGGAGAAAGTAGAAAGGACAAACGGAACAATTCGATGGAATGGCAAGTGAACCATCTGAGCACCAGTTCAAACGGGAAGAAAAGTTTTTGCACCGGGAAAGGGAAAGTAAAGGAATACACTGTTATTATAATCTTGAAATTGGTACTTGTGACGACTTCGGAATCAAATAAGGATCATTTGAATTCCTCAACAGCGTTGGAACGATTGGGGGAGGTACATGCATTGGTCCATCACGAGGAAGAGTCAGAAGTCTTGGTGGAGGTGGGCATGATGGCGGAGGACGACGTGGCATTAAAGCAGAAGTTGGTGATTCGTAAGCAGAGTCTCGAGAATCTTCTGAACTCATTGTGTAGGGGGAGTGACAGTCGAATGAGTATTCCTTATGCGAATTGAGAGCCGCAATCAGTTGGTCATTGTAAAATGCACGGTTTTTCGACGAGGAAGAACCCTTTGATGGGCGTTTGCAAGCTAACGCTAGAATGACAAGGGCTAAAAGAAGAATGAAGATAACTAGCAGGAATGGAATGAGGAGTCCTCCCAAAATAGTGCACGAGTTCAATTCATTCAACGGAGCTCCTGCCAGATTCTCAGGTCCTGCACACTTGGCATCATCGCGTGGCTTCAGGTTAGAGACTCGAAGATCACATGAGCATTGCCAGTCATTGTTCGCCAAATATAAGTTTCGAATGTTTTGCCACTGCAGCATTCCTGGTGCCAAATACCGAAGTTCGTTGTTTGAGAGATCAAGATGGGACAGTGGAGGGATCTGGTTGAATGCAGATGGATGAATGTAGGTGAGAGCAGAAGATGACACAGAGAGCCAATGAAGAGAAGATAATTGAACAAATGATGCCATCTGAAAGAAATATTAGGATTTTTAAAATCTCATTTTTAAAACTATGAAGATACCTGAATTGTTTTTAAATTTCTTGAATGGGAGATATTGAGATATTGGAGAGAAGGAAGTCCATCGAAAGAAGCAGTTTCCAATGAAACAAAAAGATTGGAAGAGAGATCCAAACACTTCAGAGAAGACAGGGACCAAGTGTTTCCAGGTAGTCGAACCAATTGGTTGTTGGTGAAATTAAGAGTTTCCAGTTTCTCGAGACCATACAGAGCTCCTTCTTCAATATCTCCAATCAAATTCTCACTAATATCGAGAAGCTTCAATTCCTTTTGAGCCACAAACATTCCAGTTTCTAACTGAAAAAATCAATATCATCATTTTTTTTATTTGAATTAAACTTACACTTGATAGCAAGTTCTGTTTCAATTTTAATGTCTCTATTCCTCCGAGATTGCTCAAAACCGATGCAGGAATTGAGAGCAGCTTGTTAGCTGACAAATCCAAACTCTTCAGTCCAGAAAGAGGTTTGAGGACTGATGGAGGAAGAAATGATAGACGGTTATCAGCCAGAGATAGTGTATGGAGTTGAGAGAGTCCAGAGAAGCATTCTGGTTCCAGTTGAACATCGTTCGATGAGATGATCAGCGTCTGAAAGAAACTTTTTTGTTGTAGTGTATTTCAATTAATTAGGACAGATCCAATTGTACTCATTGTCTCCTCCTATTTCTGGGTTTTTGTTAAGAATGAGGGGCAGACGAAGACATCTGTCAAGCGAAAAGAAGGATGGCTTGACTGAATTCGAAGACAGATGTCCTTTTCCCTATTACCTACTCATTAACATACGGAAATCATGTGTCAATCAAGTTATCGCCTTCCCTTGGCTTCTGAGATGCTGTCAACCTAATTAATAATTAAGAAGACGATGAAGCCTAATCGAGTCAACTGATGCAATGACTTACCTTCAGATTTTTCAGTTTCGAGAACACCTCATTTGGCAGTGACAATAGACTGTTTGAAGAGAGATCCAATAAACGTAGATGAGGAAGAGTCGAGAAAACATCAGCTGACAAATGTGTTATGGAGTTGTTCTTGAGGATCAGCTGTTCGAGATCTGAAGAAATTTTTTATGGTATTGATAAAATTCTTATATGAAAAATTCAAATTGTTAGTTATAACATCAATTTGTTGAGTTCAAAGAAGTCCAGAATCTACCACAAACACTATTTTAAAGCGTCACCCAAACCGTCAATTTTGAACCCATACATCTCATTCCCTGTAAAAGATACCAATTATTAGTCAACTGATAAAATGTTTATCATAATATCAAAAATATTTTGTCAGTGGACCACTTTTTGATATCTTTCACAAGAATCGAGATATATAGGCTTAAAGTTGAAAGTTAGGGATTTTATTAGACTCTATTTTAGGGACCAAGCAGAATTATTTTTTCAAATCTCAGCAGATGTTTTCTTCTTCCTGTTGCTCCACAAAATTTCTTCTCCGTAACCCCAATTTTCGGCTCTTTTCCTCGTTTTACTACGGCTTATATAATGAATGCTAAGACATAAATTACAGTTCCCTAGAAGGTTTGAGGTCAGGTCATCCATAATTAGCGGGTTGCGTCATTTCTTTCCCCAAATAAAAAAGGATGTGCTCTCCCTCTCTCGCCTTAGAATTTGAAACAATTGAACCTCCGTTGGGACGTATCTAAAAATCACCGAAAGAAAAACAATTTAGTTTTGTAACACATCTATCATTTCCCCGGGCGAAGTTGACAATTTGAGGTTCGGGAACATTTCTTTTCTCCCCGAGAAAACCGATGACTTTTCAAGCTGTTCCCTATGGACTTGTTCTTCGTCTCGAAAATTTTTTTCTATGCATAGAATCGAGAATGATGTCAATCAAATTTGCATAAGGCCCCCCTCTTTTCTTCTGTTTCAAGTGCATAATGTCCATTTTGGATACTCTCAAATCTCGAAACCAAAACTTTTGGCCATGAATGGGAAACATGAGGATCAGGGAGAACTTCTGGGAGGAGGACCATTCTAAGTCCATAATAGAATTCACTTAGGATTCCTTTTGTATTGAAAGATCCACTGACTGTTTCTCTCCTGTTGCTTTTATTATTATTATTCTAATTTGTATTGTCACACACTTGACTTTTCTTCCACGGAACGACAAGACGGCTGTCGACTTTTAGTATCCGGAGAATGATGATTTGGTCAAGGGCACCGGACGAAAAGAACGGAATTTCGCGCGGATTAGTCGCCAAGAAATCGCCCCTTTTTCTTTCTTTCGATTATATGATTATCCGTTCTTTAGAGTCTTTGGGATAATTTATCGGTCGAGTAACAACCAAATTGTTCGCTCGGAGGTGCTAAGTGGCGAACGAGATACCGACAAACAAATGTTACGTAACTTTACGGACGGTCTGAGCGGTCCGGAAGGTCAATCAATGCGACAATAAGAACAAAGAGCTCAATTATTCAATGTATTCTGAAAAGAGGACAATGGAGAACGATATAATTCCCGAGAGAAACCAATCGGCACATTTCGAAAATATTGTTGTGTCTATTAGGAGGAAACTGATAACTAATTAATCTTAATCGGTCCAATATCGCTCAAAAATCTATGCGACTCCCTGGAGTATTCTGTTCAAAAGGACATCGGATACTTCAAAAGCAAATTGTAGATTCGAATTCTTTCTATGTCCCCCCCCCCTTTCATTCTTTCCACTCAACAATCGAATTATGCATTCTGAAAACGCTTCCCCTCTCTTCTCCCCCATTTTAGGAACATCATCTTCAAAATTCCATTATCCACTCGAGCGAGCGCCCGTGCTGCTCCGAAGAGCAAAACGAGATGTTGAGCTTCCGAATTACACAGAATTAGAATTTAGAGGATCCCCCCTATCTACTTGAAAATGATGAGGATGCCGATAAATTTAGGCGGTTAAGCAATCGTTTTTGATGACTGTCTTTTCGAAGGACAATGCGTCGTTAAAATTGTGGGTGGCAATGATAAAGATCTTGGAGAAAAGGATTATGGGGAGTTATGGTTTTTTTGGTGGTGAGAAAAACGAATAAAACTGCGAATAATGGTAATAACTTACTCGGATAAAGACTCAATTCATCGGCAGAAAGACGGGAGATTCGATTGTTTGAAAGATCGAGGATTGTTGTACGTGGATCCAGAAGAATTGGAATTGATCGTAGGGAAGATCCTGAAATTTGAAATTTAGATTTTTTTGGGAGATCATACTTCGAGCACTGTGAACTTTTCTGAAAATTCAATCCACCATATTCCATCTAATAGAAGCTCACACAATCCGTCAGTTTTGAGCTCAATTATCTCGATTCCTGTGAATGATATCAGGAATTTGTTAACTGATAAAATATTGATAATATTATGAGGAAGAAGTTATTAGTTTACAACTTGTTGATATCTTTCACAGGAATCGAGATAATTGAGCTCAAAGTTGACGCTTTCATTGAGCTTCTTGCTAAGAGTACCGTACAAAAATTCTGATTTTTATAAGCCTGTATGACTGGAAGTTTTCAATTTCAATAATATCAGATACTTTTTTAATAAATGGCTAGTTGAGATAGATACGCATCTGTTTCGTGACAATTGCACTTTTACAGCTTTAGGACCACCAACAACACAAGGTAGGCTCGCTTTGAATCAGCCGCCATTTACAATTGCGGTGAGAATTTATGTACCTTTGCAGACTGCCGTCGTTCTCGTCGGACACTTGCATCCTGATTGACAAGCAAAAAGTTGTTGGCAAAGCAGGAGTAGAGTTATCAGTGGTAATCTCATTTTTGAGAATGATATCTGAAAATAGAAACTTCGGTGGACCAGAGACGAGAACAGGACGACAAAAAGATGAGAAATGAGACGAGGGAATGATGTGGGTCGGCGACGGGATTGATGGTTTTTGAGAAGAGATTCGTGAAGAACCCAGCAGGATAAGAGAGCAACTTGTTGGTATATTTCCCAAGAGAAGTCTCCAAAAAGGGAAGATATTGTTGAAACTTTCGACTCTTTTGGAAAGCAATACTTTAAGATTGTAGTCAGATAGAGAAGTAGAAAGCATAGTAAGAAGTGTTCATTCATATCTGAGAGGAAGAAGAAGAAGGAAATTGAGACGAGATTTTGGGGACAGAAGTAGTAGTTGACATAGTAATAAACACGGAGGCAATAATAACATAACCCGTATCGAGCCACCCGAAAATGATATTAAAAATTTAGGCGTTGATTGAGAAATGAAATGATTTGTTTTCGAGAATCAACAACAATTTTACAACATCATTATCCGTATTTGAGGGTTTGTTTGTTGTGGATGAAGAGGGTAGAAGACACCCACTGTCTCCAGATGAAGATGCGCGATAAAAAGGGCGGGACACTCTCTGGAGGAGAGAAAGGAGGACACGCCCCATTGGGATGGGAACGGGGGAGCACCTTTTTTGAAGTTTTCAGAAAATAGACACGAGCTTTGGATCGATATAATTTTCAAAGCAGAGGAAAAATTTTGCAGTCATTTCCATTTAAACTACCAGATATGTACACATATACCTAAAATTTGTTCAATTATCTACAATATCTGTTAATGTGGGTCTCAATGTGTTTCTAAAAACTGGAAAGCCTTCTGAAATACTGAAAAGTCTGAGTGACTTATGGGGTTCTGTTTCCAGCAATTGCCGAATTCCCATACCGTCAACTTTGTGCCCATATATCTCATCCTCTGCCAACGGTATCAAAAATGTGTCACCCGATTAAATATTGCTGGTATTATGATAATTATTTTGTTAGTTTACCATTTTTCGATACCTTTTACAGGAATCGAGATAATTGAGCTCAAAGTTGACTGTTCGGATGAGCTATAATAGAATTAGAGAAAACACGATAGTTCGAAAATCTAACTGGTCCCAATTTGCTTATTTTAATACTGCTATTTACCATTAACAACAAAATAATACTGACATCTTTCCCATGCTCTTGACTGCTCCGACCTCAATTAACTAGTTCTTTTCAAATGGGACGTTTATCTCTAATTGATTCAAATCCCAAAGAACCGAACACGCAACGTCCTCTATCGGAAAAAAGATCTACCTGCAATTTTCGGATTAACATTTGTGATACCCAAAAGAAAAGGCTGAAATGGTGTGAACAAAGAAAAAAGGAAGCGGAAGGATCAAAGGAAGAATTTGTAATGACTGTATGGAGAGCCCTGTACAAAATGAGATGGACAGAGCACAGTGGATGGCTATCTCTACCAAAACTTTTGGAAATGTGACAAGATGTATTTTCTGAAGAAGAGACAACGGACCACCTGGGTTGCCTAATCCTGTGACAGAAACGATTCTTCCCTTCCTGTCATGTCAACGACAATCGGACTGCAGTTTATATTCATAAACAATTCGAAAAAGGGCAAATTTTGGAGAAGAAGTCCGAAACAGAGTGACAGGGATAGTGTGAAATATGTAAATCATCCCGAGCTCTCTTGTGTGGTCGATCGGATAAACCAAGGGAATGCTCTCTCTCGGAGACTCTTGACGGGATGGGACCGGGGCGGCGGCATTGCCTTACGGTGAACAGTGAGAGCAAACAGGAGCCCATGCAATATGCACAAAACAATGCACAAGCTACCGGGCGCCTCAATTGTTTTTTTGATTGTGTCTTCTCCTTCCGGTGAGCACGTCAAACATGTCAAAAAGGGTGCCGAATTGAATGTGTGCGCGAAATTGAAAGAGTTGATGACTTTAGAATGTAAACTCATGTTTCATATTTTACGATTGGTTACGGTAGTTTTCGTGTCGAAAGCGGAAGCACTTATGACTTAGTGTATCTAGTATTTGTTTTTTGTTTTTATTACTGTTGGGAATATTTTTCCCACTATCCCACCCGATATTTTTTCATTACACACCGCCTTCTGGCCTCCTAATGCTATCAATTTTTCATGTCATTGTTCTGTCACCTCCCTTACCCGTTTCCAATTTCTTTTATTCTATTTTCTACAGTATCTATCCAAAATAGTCTCAATTTTGGGGTCTTCTGCATAGTGTCGCCTTCTTTGAAACGAAGGAAAACAAAGGAGAATTGGATGACCATTTCTCTTTTTTTTTCAAAAACCTTCGATAAAAAATAATTGTGCATTTCTTCATAATTGCCCTTTTCAATTGCTGCTGCTCATTTTTCTTCTTCTATTCATATAATAATTATAATAGCGAGTGGCGGATACACCACCTACAGTAGCATTTTGCTATATATGTACATTCATTTTAGTATTAGTAATCAAGGAAGAACAGGAGGAGGCAAACATAAACTTTCGAATGGGAAACGGGGAAAAAAACATCGATATAAATACTGTAGGAATTGAAGAGATCGGGACGAAATTAGTCACAAAGTCAGACATCCGAAAAGTGACTTTTACATTAGAAACTTGTAAAAAAATATGACGGACGTAAGGGGGATGGACGACGACAGTTATGTAAATAAAACCACACTGAACGACTGTATAATAGTCTATCCGGAAGAATGAAAGACAAGAAAAAAGTGGAGAATATATGTGTCAGAAAATTAGGAAAAACAGGTCATACACTAGGATGAGATGGAGGAATTAACAGTGGAAGCAGTGATGAAATTGGAGGGGAAAGATGCTCAAAAACAAAAAGAATTGTCAAGCGGAAAAAGAAATGCATTTTTGAATTTTTCGAATTGAGAAGATGAATGTTTAGTTAATGAGCACGGGAAGAGATAATTTAGCAGGCATGTACAGACTTCGAAAACTAAGATACTGTGAAACCTGTAATAGAAGGGCCCCTAACTTTGAGCTAATTTATCTCGATTCTTGTCAGATATAAAAAGTTGTCAACTAATAAAATGTTTGACATAATATCATAAACATTTTATTAGTTGACACACTTTTGATATTTCTTATAAAAATTGAGATAACTGCGCTCAAAGTGCAAGGGTGGCCTTTTACTGTGATTTGACAAGCTCGTCCAAACTTTAAAAATTGAGATGATTCAAAATGGTTTTTTGTATTATATAGATCATTTCAAGTTTTTATTACACACTCTGGTTGCAAATTTGAACATGCATCTTCAAAATTATCCAGACCGTCCAATGAATGACATTTTTTGATCAATGCAATGTTTTCCTAATGGGTGGGTTAGAGTGAAAAAGAAACGATTTAGATAAGATATTTTTGAAGTTCTTATGTTGCCTATAAACTCAAAAACAACACAATATTCAGATCATCTCCCAAAGTGTGAAAGTGTCACGTTTCGGCGATTCTCTCACTTAATTACAGTACGGTACCCACTTTGAAATACGAGACAATTGAAGGCATAGGTGTGTGTGCATACGGTCACAGCTAAACGTGTCTATTCTACTACTAATTACGGTTGTGAGTTGCCGACGACGATGGTTACCCGAGAAAAATCGATGTACGAGAGAACGAAAAAAAGGCAGAAGCCATTCGAAAGAAAATAGAGATGAAGAGAAGAAGACGAAGACTTCGCAAATCAAATCAATTCGTCTTCGTTTCGTTTTATCATTCACTAATCACTCGAGGAACCGGTTTTGCGGAGGAATTGGCGGTGGAGAAGTTATGCGAATTCCATTTTAAAAAGTATTCGAGATGAGACTGGAATTGAAGAAGCGAGTGGTCACTAAATAAAATAACTGCTGATTGCTCCTGATAGAGGCTCTCCAGCTGATAATGAAATTGATAGCATTTGCACAAGTTGTATAATAAAATAGTTGCAATTCGAAAAGACAAATATTCAATTTTTATTATATTTTTCTTTTGTATGATAATACTGGAGGAAGAAACCAAACAGAATATTATTTTAGTATTTAGAAATCCAAATCCAGATGCTGCGGGATGTTAACCATAAATCATGGCACGAGTGGGCGATAATGAAAGTACAACCTGCCCATCTGGCACGTCATTTACATAGGGATAGTGTCAAAACCCAAAATATTTATTATCAGATTTGTCAATCTCATCTACCAGCTCAATCATTTTTAGGGGGTATATGGGAAAAAAGGTACCTAGATGAAGGCAAGACCTTCTACTAGGTTTGGTAGAAAGGCTGTCAACTAGGATTCATGTAAAACCTGTAATAGAAGGACCCCTTAACTTTTAATTTCAAGTCAATTTATCTCGTTTCCAGTTAAAGATTTAAAAAAATGTTGTCAATTGTTGAATTTTTATCACTATACCACAAATCATATTTTTTATATCTACAAATCATATTTTTCATATCTACGGTAATCGCTTTTTGAACATTTTCCCATAGAGTTTGGTAGTTGGGGAGCAGGTGAAGGTTAGTGTTACTGAACCCAATAGACATTACTATAGGTGCTGTCACAGAAGGTATCGTACAGGTTGTGTAATTGCCACGTCACTCTTGACATGACGGGTGGATTATCTTTGAAATACAAAATAATTGGATACTATATGCCATATATTTAGATTTGCAGATTACTAAAATGGGGGAAAAGAAGAAAAAAGTATAGGTTGTTGTTTTTGGTTTTGCTCTTCTTTTCATGGAGGTCTAATGAGGAGGGAAATAAGAAAGCGAGAGCATGATTTGAGCCAATTATTAACAACACAAGTAATAATAATAATTCTGAAGCCATGTGCGCATTAATTGTGCAGGACAGAAAAAGAAAAAAGAAGAAGACAAAGTCTCAGGATATCAATGTCACTTTTTTGTTTATTTTCGACCAGGTGGCGCCCTGAATGGTAGAAAGACATAAGAGCCTTGAAATGTCTTCTGCTGCTAAGACACTAACAAGTTATGATTGATAATCGAGTGAAGATGAAGATGAAGGAGACATTGTCATTGTCGTCCTCAATGAGTATGGTGCCATCTGCCCTGAGGCGCACAGGCGCAAACAAGTAGTCGACAGAAGGCCGTAGTGAAGAGATTTTCGAAAAAAAAGTGCCTCGGGGTTGAATAAGGCTGAAGAAAAAAACGAAGAAGACAAAAAAAGGTTTGGAGTTGTTTCGTTTTAATTTATTCAACCCCAAAGACACACTTTTTTGTTAGTAAGGACATGAGTGAACTCATTTGGAAGAAGTACAAGAAGAAGGAGTTATCGGGAAGGACATCTAAGGTTAGAGGATATAATCATATGGTTGTTCTGTTGGGCAACAACCTGGTGTGAGGAGATCAGACAACCGGAGGAAAGGAACACGGAGGTAATCTAGTGTCAAAGTAGGTTGCCGTTACTCACCGGGAAACTTCCGAGGGAATGAGTGAAAATTCAAATACTTCCTTGTGATAGTAGAAGAAGGGGGAAGACTGTCAGTGAGAAGAGTAAATATTAGGATGCGTTTTCTCACTGATGGGAAAACAATACTGTTGGTTATTCAAATCTTTTGGGGTGAGAAGAATATAAAATAGGTAGTTGAAATTAAAGTTGGTGAAGAATTATACCAAAAATAATTCAGATGCTTCTCAGAGATACCTGGAATGTATTTTTTGAGAAACCGAGTCCGGAATCCGGACATCTCTGGTGCTTCTACCTAAAAACCAACGGAAATTCGAATCTCTTGACCTCGAACGACCTGGCTACCATACTCTGATCGAACCCTCTAATTAAATCGTAATCCATCATTCGTATGGTCCTATCCGGAATTCGAATACAGGCTGCAGGACCATTCGCCTTCCATATAATAATCCTTTATTGTTTCTTCTTCTTCTCATTTTTGTATCTCCCGGAGAATTATGGTGCCGAAAGCAGCTGCTCGAGGAGGACATGCGCAACCGTCGTCTTTTGCGGTACCCAATTCGAGTGGTGCTTCTGTTGGCAACATAGGAAACCGCCAAAAAAATAGGGGACATGGAAAAAAGACGTTTTGTTAATGAGCCAAGATGGTGGGAATTGAGCTATTGATTTCAATCATTTTGGGTAAGATCTTTATAGAAATGGATGGAGTTCAAGTGGCTGAAGCTTGGTGTCAATTCAAGGTTTTCAGAATAAATTCAGATAAATAAGAAACCGTAAAACCTGTAATAGGAAACCCCGTACTTTTCAACTTTGAGCTAATTTTTCTCGGTTTCTGTCTGAGATATAAAACAGTAGTCGATTGATAAATTCTTTATCATAGTATCAGAAGTAATTTACCAGTCGACACATTTTTGATATCTTGCATAGGAGCCAAGAAAAATGAGCTCAAACTTTATAATGCAGGACCCTTCTATTACAGGTGGTACAGTAGCCAAAAACATTCTGATGGCATATATTTCTAATGGTCTAGACTGAAGAAAAAACCAGGCTATTCAGAGAATCAAATTTTACTAAACTATTAGAAAAAATCAAACAATGCGATGTAAGCAAAAGCGCAAAAAAAATGGTGCCAAAAATTGACAAGTCGATGATCCCCATGAGCATTTGAGCACACAGTCTGCACCTCTTGTAAGGAAATTGGCTGAGAGATACTGTACAAGCGGAAGAGACGCGGATCTGAGCATGACAGACGGCACACGCACTTGAAATGTTGCGAAAAACAAATTGATGGTCTTATGGAAAGCAACCACTGAGAATAGATGCCAGAATGCACCGGAAGTCGCACAAGATAAAACAGGAAATTTGATATTCTACCAAAACATGTTTTTTACAACATCTCCGTTTTTTTTCGTACGATACTAAAAAGTATCTGGAGAAGGGGGAAACAGACCACTTGAGTAATACTGAAGCAAGGGGAAAATGGAGTGAAAGAGCCAGTGAGATTTTTCAAATGGAGAATAATATGGAGGTCAAACTGAGTGACGAGATAATTTGACGAGCGGAACGGCGAAAAGAGAGCCTATACATCATTTTAATTTCTTTTGTGTGTGGGGGAGACCCCAATGGGAGCACAGGTGAAGTGAGAGCAAGATGGAGAAGACGTTTCCGGGAGCAGAGTGGAACCGGCTGGACGGCGGTCACACAACACTTGAGAATTGAGAAGAATGGGTAACTTGAGGAGTGGGGAACGGTGGTTCGTTTCTTAATTGGGCAGTTTTGGAATTCTCGATGAGTACGTGTTCACCTGAGGAAAAGAGAACGAAGAGTTTTCGGGAAGCGATAATGGCTCAGTTTAATAACTCGTGCAGTCGTTAAATCAGAACGTTCCGTTCGGAACATATGTATGAATTATTTTCAGGATTCTTAAATTTTTTTACTAATCATAACGTAGTATGCTGTTATAAAAAATCGGAGCTGTGGAAGAGAAGCCTGTGGCTGGAGCAGAGATGACCGGAATTACTTTTTTGAGAAACGGAATCCGGACAAATAAAAATTTCACGGAATCCGGAATCCGGAATGAAAAAATATCGGAATCCGGAATACAGAAATCGGAATTTTGAGCGCTCCGATGGGCATAAAAAATTTTTAAAAAACTCATTTTGTGCTTTATTTTTGCATTATAAATCGCTGAAGTTCAAAAACGGCAGAGAATTCATGCAGATTAACAAATGTCTGAAAAATCCGGAATAAAAAATTTTCTCGGAATCTGGAATACGGAATCCGGACAAAAATATTTTTTACGCAATCCGGAATCCGGACATCTCTGGTCCCAAAACGACAACTACCGTAACCTAGAAGTATGTTTATTTTCCGGATTTATTTCTCGATTTTTGTGCGTTTTCAGCCAATATTTTCAGTTTTTTTTCAGTATCAAAAATTTTTATTTCCACCTCTCTTGGGGAAAAAACATCGAAATTGACAAAAAGCAGTGAAAAACGAAACATTAAATACGTAAAATGAAAATATTTTTAGGTTACGGTAATTTTCGCTGTGAGACATCTGGCTACGGCCATCGGCGTTTTTCTTCCACAGCTCCGACGTTTTTTTGTACCAGAATAATAGCCTAATTAGAACAAAGTGCAACTTTAAAAGCTCTCATCATTCACCAGGTTCCCATAAAGAAATTGAAAATAATCGCTTTTGTGATTTTTCGGTCGAACACCGATTTAACAGACATCAGCCGAATTTGGTAAACAATAACTTCGACGAAAGAGGGTAGCATGGAGTCGTATCTTTTCGAAGTTTGAATAAAAAGAAAGAAAGATGAAGCGAGGGGAAAATAAAACGAGGTGAATCGGATTTGACCAAGCTGCGGAAGTTGAAAGAGAAGTGAAGAAGTGCTTGATAAGATTTCGTTTTCTAAAGCAAACTTTTACTCGCTTCTCAATACAACGACCCTGTCTCAATCTTTCATTTGTTTTCTGATGGTTAGTAGTAGAACTCTCATCCAATTGCCATATACAGGGTGGCTGAAAAGTATTGAGACACTTGTTTTTTGTTGTATTTTCAAAAATGGAGTTTCAACAAAAGAACCAGATTTATTTTTTCAACAAATGATAGTAATAGAAAAGATATCAGAGGAGATATTCGAAGTTTGAGCCTTCGGCCTTGATGCACGCCTTCAAACGAGCTGGAACAGAAGCGACGGTGCGCCGGAGGTAGTCATCGTCAAGATCATCCCATGCTTTGAGCAAAGCGGCCTTCAGTGAATCCACATTTGGGTGCGATCGAGCCATCACCTTTTCCTCCAAATATCCCCAAACGGAAAAGTCGAGTGGATTCAGATCGGGCGAGGAAGCGGGCCACATGTCCTTGCCCCAGTAGCCAGGGAAATGAGCGTCGAGAACAGCTTTCGTAGATTTCGAGCCATGGGACGGGGCCCAATCTTGTTGAAGAATGAAGGGTTGCTGGCCAAAGTGGCTAGTGACCCACGGACGTAAAACATCCATCAACACCAACTTTTGGTACACATCCGAGTTGATTTTCACATTTCTATCAATGAAAACCAATGGGACTTTACCTTCCGACGTCAATCCAGCCCACACCATCACTGACTTTGGAAAAAGTCTCTTGTAGGCCAGACGACGTTTTGGGGACTTTGCTTCGTCCTTTGACAACAATTACCGAGCATTCTATCGGTGCGGCTCAACCGTAAAAATTTTCTCATCAGTCCAAATGACTTCAGAGAGGCGGCGCACCTTGAGTGCGTCGAGCAACTTTTTCGCTTTTTCGAGCCGATTCTTCTTGGACTGTTCTGTGAGGTATTGGCCACGAAGGAGCCGATAACTGTTCAGACCCAAGTCCTTTTTCACAATGGATTGAACCGATTGTCTTGAGATTCCGAGCGATGAAGCCATTTGGTTCATGCTGACCGCATCATTTCGTGTGATTCTCTTCTTGATGATGCCACGAGTCCGGCGAGTGTTGACAGTACGAGGTCTTCCGCTTTTCTTAAGCTCCAACACATGTCCTCGATCTTTCAATTGTTGCACAACTCGATAGACAGTTGCTCTCGGAAGAAGAAGTCTTCGAGCGATGTCACCGGTGGAGATGCCGTCGTTGAACAGCTTGGCAATGGTTTGGCGATGAGGAGAAGCTCGCATAACTTCGTGAAGAGATAAAGTGATGGGAAATGGCTCTAATGTCGGCTTATATACGCTCCCTATTTTCGAAATAATACGAAACTTTTCGAAAATACGACTTGGCACGGTGCCAAGAGCCATCATAACAAGTGTCTCAATACTTTTCAGCCACCCTGTATGTTTCTCTTTCGCTCCCAAATTCGATTAGAACGCTGATGAGCACAATGCTCCTACTGTCCCTATAAATTAAAAGTAGGCCGGATGTGGCCTAAAGAGAAAAAGAATAAGAAACTAAATGGAGCACATCATAATTAATTTTTTAAAAACATTCAGAAGAACACATATTGAAATACGGGGAAACTAGACACAGAAAAATGTGTGTATTCAAAAGAAAAAAATTTCCAAGGAGAACGATAAAAAGAAGACATGGGAAGAAAAAGAAATGGGCACAAGTCAATACAAAAAAAACTACCGGTCCCGAGGAATGACAAGACTTTTCATACAGAGATTTATTAACAGGAGGTATTTAACGACGAGAAGAGATCGAAGATACTCCAATAGATGCAATATCGGTAGCGGTGATAAGACGAACGTTACTTGATGTAGATGGAATACGTGCAGCGTTCACAGTATCAGTTACTGGTCTGGATCCGGAAGAAGGTTTTTCGAGTTCTTTTGTTGATTCCGCCATGAGCCGCTCAATCATAGTCTTCGCATATTTGATGCGATGTAGGAACTTCTCCGGACACCCATTCAATTCCAAATTTGAGAATTTGAAGGTCAGCATACGCTTATTTTGATCAATGAATGTAACGGCTTGCATGAGTGGACACAACATCATCTTTATATGATCCTGAAAAGAAAACAAAAATAATATGCTTCCGGTTTTTACTCCCTACCGTGAAAAAGTTTATTTGAACAGTGCCATTGGAGAGATGCAATACAATTGCAGATTTCGTTCTGAACCAAACACGAAGAGTAGGAAGACGCGCCAAGTCATCCCCAGCTCTCTCAGAACTCCGGTCTCCGGCTTTCAATAAATGGTCGTTCATGTAGGATCTGAAGTACTGAAGAAGAGTGATCTTCTTCTTCAATGTGACGGGCATCTGGTTTTGCATGTTGAAATAATGCTCTTTATTGTTCTTCTCAATATAAGACAATTGATTTCCAGCAGAGTCCAACATGATCCTTGAATTGTCATTGAAAAGCACTCCCACCTGAAAATGCAGTCAGTTGTAAGAAACGTAATAATGCAAAAAAAAAAACCGAGTTATCACAGAGTTGATATCCAATGCCGTATTTGTCCGAATAGTCGACCCATTTCGAAATCCAAAATACAGGCAGTGCTTCTGGTGACTGATAGGTATCAAGTGTCGCTTCTATCTCATCCATCTGAATAACAAGTTATTTATTTGCACAAAACGAATCAAACTTACGTCGGCAGTGACTTTGAGTAGCAAGTCCCCGACTTGTGAATTCAACTGAGATAGGTAACAATCATTTGGAATTCGAATTGTCGCTTCGAGAGCCATTCTGTGCGCACGTTCTCTTTCAGCGTGTTCGGAAATTCGGCGCGATGGTACATGTGATGTCCCTGGGATTCCGGTGTGTTGAGTGCTTTCCGAGTCGGAAGAGACAGCCGGAGCGACATTCTCTTCATTCAGAACAGTGTCGTTGAAATGCGGAACCATCGTAAGGCAAGAAACTGGAAGACGAGTTGGCATGTAACCAGATTTGAAGAAAACATCCCGGAAGACGATTTTCGCAGTGGGGCGGCGTCCTGGCACTGGATCAAGAAGCTTCCGGATGAGCTGAGAAGCTGTTGAGCTTGTTTCTGTTGGAATTGTGTAATTGTTGTTTTTGATACGAGAATATGTCTCCTGAAAGAATAATTGTTTTTTCTGCAATATGGGAATCTAAACCTCTAAAGTCTTCGATTCAAAGGGAGGATGTCCAACTAATAGAATGAAAAGGATGCATCCAATAGCCCAAATATCCACTTCAAATGAATGTCCCATTTTACTGAGAACTTCAGCTGAAATATCAAAATTACAGTCTGCTATAATAATTACGAACATGAAAGATTAGAATAACTAACGAGCTATATAGTTCGGGGTTCCACAAAGAGTTTTCTTGCGTTCATCATTTTCCACGGTTGTAGCCAAACCGAAATCGCCAATTTTGACTTGCAACTCGTCGTTGAGGAAAAGGTTTCCAAGCTTCAGATCTCGATGGACGATTTTCAAATCGTGCAAATATAGAACTCCTTCGACAACTTGGTGTGTAAAGTATCGAGCTTCTGGTTCAGTAACCGACTTTCTCCTCTTGTGAAGTTCCATCAGCGACCGCCTGGGGCATAGTTCCAAGGTGATGTACACATTCGATCGGTCCTGAAGCAATTATAGAAGTAATCAAAACGATCATTTTCTTACCTCAAAGAAATGGAACAACTTAACAACGTTTGGATGAGAAAGATTGCGATGGATTTGAACCTCTTGAGCCATCTTGTCTCTCTGATATTGTTTGACGAGCAAGTGTTTGGGAACAACTTTTCCGGCTAGTGTTTCTCCACTGGCCGTATTACGTATCTCGTAGCAGTGGGCAAATCCTCCCTTTCCAAGAAACTTTCCTTTCTCATAACGAATATGTCTTTCTGGATCGATGATGATATCAGGCACCTCCGGTGGTGGCTTGTCTTTCCTTTGAGTTTTTGATCTGGCTGGAGCGGGCGGAGCACGTTGCATCTGAAAAATTAACCTAGAACTGTATTCGCGCACGGAAAGAACCGACTACGAAAGCGCGAGAGCGCTGCACGATTAGAAGATGAAACGTAGAGAACGATGAAAAAGGCAATTAATCTAGTCGACCTTCACCCGGTATTCAACGAAAAAAAAAACGGGCTGAGAACAACGAGAACAATGATAAATTGTCAGCTGTTTATAGGCCATTCCGGCGACGGAATGTTAACTTTAGGACATATTGTCGAATTAAAAAAAGTGACACCAGAGAATTTGAAAACTTTTGCTTTTTTTTTGATCTACGAAAAAGTGCGGCAAAAAGTAATATTTCAGAATTTCGGCTCGTTCGAGCTACTTTCGCGTTTGAGTTTAGTTTTTTGCTGAAAAATAAATTCTAGAGATGCTAGCGATCATTTTTATACCAAGAAGTCAAAATTTTGTTCAGAAAATCCCACTACATTCACATGAATAAATTTGTTATCTACAGTATCCGTTTTCGCTCCGCCCCCTCGTAAATCGACACGAGCGCCGTCTCCGAGATTTTCAGGTGTCACTTTTTTTAATCCGACAATAAATTCACATGAATAAATTTGTTATCTATCCGCCCCCTCATAAATCGACACGAGCGCCGTCTCCGAGATTTCCAGGTGTCACTTTTTTTAATCCGACAATAGCGCAAGCGCACGACATAAACGGAGTAATTTATTGAATCGCGGTATCATCGGAAAGAATGAGATTCTGTGCTGAAAATTATCAGCTCAATCCTAAATATTTTTTAAACGTAGCGCGCTTTTGTGGGTCTCGCGACGATGAAGCGAGATACTGTAGCCTTGTAGATTTACGCACGCTGGTGGTGCGACGAACAAATCGGGGAAATGTCGGAATATTCCTATATTCAGAATTTCGGAGTTTTTCAACATTCAGATTTTGAAGCAGAAATCACATTGTACCCTCACAAAAGTGCTGTAAATTGGTGGAAAAGTGACAAAAAAAAAAACTCAAAACGCAAAAAAAGTAATTCCGCTCCAAGTCCACAAGAAAACTTTTCGCGTTCGCCTTTAACTACTGTAGTCCAAAACTCTAATTGCGGACAAACAGCTTCGGAAATATTTAATTTTCAAAATTTTTCCTCCAAATTTGCAATTACTGCATGCGTTTTTTCAAAGTGTGCACATGACCGTTCTTGCGCGTTCGTTTCTTCCGGTCTCGTTGCTTGCCGTTTCCGAACTTCAAACATTTCGTTCTGATGAGTGTTCCCCTGTTTTTTAATGTCAAAAAATAAGTCATCGGTATTTTAATAAGTAAGAATATCTATTAGGTTTCATATTGAAACAACGAAATATCAATTTGTATTAAAACTTCAACGCTTTTTTGAGCTTCGCAATCTCGATGAGCTTAGCTTCTCTTTCTGCCTGATATCCACGTATATTGGCCACAGCCATCTTTTTTTCCAGATCATTTTCGAGTTTTTGGATGACCGATTCGTCAGAAAAGTCTGGGACTGGTCCCATATCATTCAGAACCTAAAAGACGATGTAGTGATTCACTTTCTTCTGATTTCCACTTACGGTAGTAGCACCATTTCCATATCTTCTGAAGTAGTCTCTTACTCCGAAGGCATTCAAATGCACTGTCTCACACGGTCCGTTGAATGCGTATCGTGGGCCTAGCCCTGCTGACATGACTACATCTATATCATCTACTCCAATAACATCGTCTGCCACAAGTCGCCATGTTTCAGCGAGGAGCGCGAACTGAATCCGGTTCACAGCAAACCCAAGTACTTCCTTCTTCAGCTTTACGGGTGTTTGCTTCACCGACTTCATTATCTCGGCTGATCTATCAACCGTATCCTGAGATGTCCATGGAGCAGGCACAAGTTCAGTGAGCGGAAGGAAGAGTGGAGGGTTTACCGGGTGAACGATTATGCATCGCTCTCTGAACTCTGTTTTGGTTTGAATTGACTGATAAGGAGAAAGTTGTTTACCTATTGACCAGACCCTCGGTAAACTTCGATGCAGGAATAGTCGATGTACTACTGGCTAGAATTGTATTTGGTCCTGCCAATTCATCGAGCTTCTTGTAGAATTCAATTCTAAAGTTTAAATCTTCCAACGCGGATTCCTGCACATAAACTGCATTTGTCATAACTTCCTTTAAACTGGTAGTAGTTGAAACTAACTTCAAAGCTACATCGGTCAAGATTGGTCCTCTTTGGAGAGCGTGTTTCTGAGTAAAACTATTATATTTTCGAACCTAATGCTGCTTGCTTACATCTAGTTTCTGAAGATTTTTCTCTACCAATATCTTTGCTGCTACTAGCTGTTGCTCAGAAATATCATACATTTGGACTTGATAGCCTGAGCTAGCAAAAATTGTTGCCCAGCTCGAGCCCACTAAGCCACTGAAAATGAAACATGAATAGCTGAAAACAAGCACTTGAACAAACCTGCCAACGATGGCGATTTTGCCCTTTCCATTTTCTGAGGACATGTTGATAGCGTTGATGGACACGACTAACGACTGAGTGATACGAACAACACTCATTTATTATCAATGTTATCATTTGACAGTCAGATATTCATAGCAACATTAGACGCAGAGATGCATCGTGATCTGGCGCTTCTTATTCCTTTCTATTCTAGATATGTCCTAAGGATCGTCATGTAAGCAGAACAAAGAACAAAATGTTAAATAGAATTTTATGAATCAAGGAAAATACAAAGTAAATATATACAACACTTAATAAATATACAGTTTGTTTCATTGGACAGAATTCTAGATCGAAAAAATTGATTTCTAAATATTTAGATTCCTCATTTTTCACTCGTCATCGATGCGAAGTGTTCCTTCTTCTGGACTATCAGGTCCGTTGTCGCCGCCCCCTCGAGCTCTGCTGTCCCTGTGCGGTCTCGAAGGAGGAGCAAGCGGCGGAGGAGGATTTTCTTTAGGCAGTGGTATCATTTGCGGCGGCGGTGGCGGCTGTTCTCTTTGGGAGATCTGTGGTGGTCCAAGAGTCGGCATTCCGCTGAAAAAAGCAGTTCAGTTGAAATCTAAATGCGTGTCGTTGGCAAGCAATTACAAGGCGATTCGTGCAGGCAGGGAATAATTCTTGGTGGCATGTAGCAGGAGAATGTTGTCGTTTTAGAAATGTGCATTGTTGATCCTTTTCAAAAAAAAGTGTGCTCTATTTGAAAACTAAAATCTATGTGTTCTGGCATGCAACCTCCTAAAAAACTCTTTTTTCCAAACGATACAAACAACTGTGACAAGTTAAAAGAGCGATCGCGATCTAGAAAACTGACTGATAGCTGTGCGAGTCCCTGTGCGTGGGTGGCCTGACCCACTGCGACGCCTGATAGGAATTTCCATGTGGCTTGGCTGCCGGAGGTCCCATACCAGGCGGAAGACCCTGTGCGTAAGAGGCCACTTGTTTGCTGCCACCACTTCCACCGCTTCCGTGATAATGAGAAGATGGTGGAAATCCCCGCATGCTTCCTGTTCGCTCTCGATACATTTGATCTGATGGTGGACCTCTGGAATAATACATTTTGTTTTTTGTTCCGCTTGTATGAAAACGAACCTCATCGGAAGTGCTGGTGGCGGAAGTACTGGTGGCTTTCGACTTCCACCATTGCCACTTCCCCGACTACTGCTTGAAATGGGACCTGCATTCGAGGAACCTGAATAAGATCCCTGAGCGGGTCCACTTATTGGAGGCGGTTTCTTCTTCGGAGGCTCTCGATGGTATTCAGACGGAGGGAATGCTCCGGATTGAGATGTAAACGATTCTTTCCGTTGTAATGGCGCAACAGATGACGTCGTTGATTCTTTTCTAGATATAGGAGCAGGAGCAACTTCTTTCCTGGTAGAGGATTCTGATGATGTGGATGGCCCAGGGATACTTTCATCCTTCGGTTCTTTTTTGTCCTCGTCTACAGTATCTTTTTTAGGTATTCTAAAGTTCTTCAGTGTTCTCGTAGGAATCATTGGTAATACTGATTTGGTTGTTGTCTTGGATAGTTCCTTTCCCTCCTTCTTCTCCTTTTTCCGATCGGGCTCTCTTTTGTCTTTCTCTTCACTTTTCTCTCGTTTTCGTTTCTTCGACTCCTTTTCTCTTGTGCCCGATGAGTCTTTTTCTTTTTTAGCTTCTGTTCGATCTCGATCTCTCCGTTTCCTTTCCTTGTCTCGCTCTTTTTTATCCTTTTCTCGTTGAGATTTGTCCTCTTTCTCGTATCTGTCTCGTTCTCTATCTCCATCACGGTCACGATCGCGATCACGATCTCTCTCTTTTTCTCTTCTCTCATCTCTTCGGTCATCTACCTTCAAGATCTTTGGAATCTGAAAATTACAAGTTACTAACGTATTTTTGTATGATATTGCAACTGTTGAAAACAACAACCTTAACGATAAGCTTCTCCTTCTCCCGCTCTGGTGGCTGCTCTTCTACTTCTTTCTTCAAACTTGGCATCACTCCTGAAGGTTGAGCAATGTTAGAAGATGTGCCAGGAGTAGTAGGATCCACAACAATTGACCCAGTAGACTTTTGAAGTGATGCCAGTGATGGTTTGATGTCGGAGGTATTTGTGGAACTTCCTGCCTCGTCATCAAAAGCGTTGCTCATATTCCTGAAAAAAACTTTTCCATAAACATTTTAACATAAAAATCTTTTATTTAAATCTTACATCACTCGGTTGACCTGATTTGGGGCCAGGGGCGGGCCAGGCTGTTGGCTAAACTGTGGTTGCGGAGTTGGTTGCTCGGAATTCGTAGAATCAACAGAATCTTGTTGTTGGATCCTCTGCTGTTCCTGCTTCTGTAAAGCTTGTTCCTGTACTCCTCGTAATTTTGAAAGCGTAGCCTCGAGGCCTAATTTCTTTTTAGGTGTCTGTGCAGTTGTAGGGGGTTTCATGAGTGGTGCAGAACTGGCGCTTTCCGTAGCATTAGACGATTCTCCAGAAGTCGAGGGATCAGATGAGGAGGAAGTAGCTGCAGTACCAAGAACAGGTCCACACGAAGAACTAGCTGCCATTTGCTGTTTCAGTTTTTCGATATCTGGTTTCACATCAATATTACGTTCGGCTTCTTTCCAATAGGCATTATCCCGCATCTTTGTACCAAAATGATGTTGCTCAGGACTGAATGGTTTCGGAGGGGCAGACAATGGGGAAGGTGTGAGGGGTAGATGATTAGGACTTTGTAGTGGCATTCCCGGGTATCCAACCATTGGATTTCCAAGCTGATGGGGTGGAGGGAGAGACGGTCGAGAAACAGCAGCACTAACCTGCGGCTTTGGAAGTCGGGGCGGGTCAACATCCTCATCTGCAATTTTTACGGATTCTTTTTCGTAGAAACTTTGTTCTTTTGATAAATTCTTACCAGAATCTTCATCTGTTAATCTTTGGCTTTTCGGAGTATTCATTCCAGATTGTTGTTGAGGAGACTGCATTTGCTGTTGCTGGAGTTGTTGCTGTTGCATATGCATACGGTATTGTTGGTTTTGCTGATACTGCTGATTTTGCTGATACTGTTGCATTTGTTGGTACTGTTGCATATTCTGCATTTGATGCATTTGTTGCATATGCTGCATGTGTTGAGCATACTGTGGCATGTGTTGTGGATTCATTGGGTTTTCTGAATAAAAGAAACATTTATATGTCAAAGTGAGAATTCAACATACGGAAGTCGCTGTAGCTTCTTTGTAGCTGTGGTCTCATTTGATCCATACCATACTGATTTTCACCCACAACGCCGCTGCTTTTCCTCCCGCTACCAGCGCCAACTGCAGCAGCCCCACGGCCTTTTCGACCTTTTCCTCTCCCTGATGGAGCAGCAACTTCTTCCCCTGGTTGTTTCTTAGCACGCGGCTTCCTTTGCTTGCCCTTCCCGAATGCAGCAGCATCGGGGAATGGAACGCTGGCAGGAATGTTCGGCCCGTAGAACCCTGGAGAATCGTAAGAACCGCCCATATAAGGATGATGTCTCATAGGGCCTGGAGAAGTGAATGACTGGTGACTCGCAAGCCCGACAGCATGTGCTGCCCCTATAGATTGCCTCATCTGGATACGAGCAGATTCAAGGTTGCTCAGTTCTCGCAGATCTTGCGGTCTTGGGTGCATCGCATGTTCCATGCTCTGACGATTTCTTGCCATATCTAGTTCGGCAGACATCATGCCCATGCTAGCCAATTGACTCGGCTCTCGTTTCGGGCGTGGTTGAGGTCCAGTTTTGCCAATTGTCGAAGTCTGCACATAATACTGGTCCACTTCGCCAAAACTGGATAAAAGAGAACCGCACAGCTCTTCATCTTCTTGTCTAGTATAAACTAGTTCTTTTGGTTCGATGACAGGCCCTAAAGTATTGCTCAATCCTATCTTACAACTCATAGCTAATTTCACTCACCAATTTCTAGTACTATACGCTTCTTAACCTTCTCAACTGTAATGTTTGTATGTGTTTTATTCGCACCCAACCACCATTGTTGACGTTTATCAGAATCAAAAGGATTTGAAGGTTTGACATAATTGAGAGGAGAAAGCAAAGAATTGAGACGACAATTGAGAGTAGAAAGCGCGAATGTCAGAGAGATTGGAATGCTCCAGGTGCTGCAAACATTTTGAATGTTTTCTTTTCCTTTCCCATTTCAACCTAATTACCTGTTAAGTTTTTCCGTCAGAAGATTGTCGAGATCAGAAGAAGGAGTATCACCAGTGAGCTGAGAAACTGTTCGGATGAAATATCGCCTAGGCTCTTTTTCCGAGATTTGCACTGCAACAATTAACCGCCTAATAATTTATATGAAAAAAAAACTCACTGGACATGTTTCCAAACTCAGTATCGAATTTCAAATTGAATTCATTGCGACGAAGCAAGAGTTCCAAATTCGCAGCACGGACTTCTTTTTTCACAGCATCCTGATTCGGTTCACACATAGCTACAATGGACTCCCACAAACTGGCATGCATCCATTCGCTGCGCAGCGTCTCGATAAGTTTGGGTAGCTCTCTCAAGTCACCTAAGAACATCTCGACTACAAGCGAGTCACTGTCACTCGCCAGTTTTGATGAGTCCACATTGTAGTGTTGCTGGATATCTGTTTCGTTAGGAAACTGGGTCAGAAGCTCCAAGTTCTTCTTGACAGTTGGGCGGCCGGTCGCATACCGGTAAAAGTTAACGTAGCTACGAACGACTGGTGATTTTGGTACAGTTTTCGCTAGTTTTCGAATTGTATGTTGGGAAAACAAAAACGCGTGTTTGAATCGGATACATATGCAGACTTTAGCATCATTGAAAGTGGTCCACTCTCCACTTTGATTGAAGACTGGTAGTTTGCTCTTCTTATTACTTTTGACGAAAAAAATTTCGATATACGGCAACGAGTCGAGATCTGAATAAAAGAAATAACCCATTTCCGTATATGCTTCTCTTAAACATACGCGAATTATCGGCATGCATTTTTCCTTCTTTTTCTGCGACTCTTATCAACATCGGTTCAGCAATGTAATACAAACGACCAGGACGCAACTCGTTCCGTGGAGAGTAGAATCCGTATTTGTTATTGTTGATGGCTGAGAACGAGGAGTCGGCGGCATCTCTGATGAGTACGTGCTCCAAAGCTCGAAGTGCATCTTTGCATGCGTTTTTATCGCTTCTGAAAAATTGGATTATCGGGATAGAAGTTACTATTGCTGCTGATTACGGATATCCGCAGGAAAAAATCGGGATATTCAGAAATTTTGAATTTTTACAGATCTTCCATATCTCATGAAGCTTAGACTCATACTCCGGGGAATACAACCTTAGGGGTACATCATGTGAATACATTGCTTCCTGCTTGCCTTGTTAGCTAGCCAGAATCTACCTCTTCTTTCAACAGAAATGTGTCACTTATTATGAAATAATTCATAGACACACTCTCCCAAAGACAAATTCAAACTGCACTACTAAAATTGATCTACCTTAAAAATTTTAGATTTTACAATGATAAACATAGACCCGAAAAGACTAATTTGACCGTTTTAGATAGCGCTTTGCTAAATTTCTTTTTGATATGATCAGAAGCAACTCGCCATTATTTTTAGAAAATTTCTAAATACTCCTATTTTTTTAATCATTCCTACTTTCGGAAATTTCTAATGACCTTGTATTTTCTATCGTTGTTATCACACTACAACATACAACTATCTGGTGTGGTTCGCTGTCTCTCTCTCTATCTGCGTCTCCAAAATGTCTTCTCCTTTTTCATCACTTTTTTCTTTCCCAGCCGGTTTCGTTAAACTTTGCTAAATTCTAAAGTGGTTATACTTTACTTCACTCTCCTTTCAATACTTTGGTTAATAATAATAATAATAACACATTCAGAAGAGCTAATTTTCAGAATGATTCTACGCGTCGTTGAAGCTATTTTGGGATTGGCTCTCCTTGGATATAGTCTTTCTGAAATTGGCACCAATCCCGTCTGGTGGGCATATGTGCCAGTGTACATCGTTCCAGCTGTACTTGCGATAATTCAAATGCCTAGAAATGTTACATGGCGCACACTCTCATCTATCTCAATCGTCGTCGGAGGTTTCTACTTAACTTTTTTGATGTGGACATTTTCTTCAGTTGAATCCACGCCGACTATCAATTTGGAAGAAGCTAAAAATATTCCCCCGGTAAGCTCAACTCTCGTAGTTTCAATAATGAAATGCCACTGTTTTTAGATTGCGCTCGGAGCGTTCCTCATAAGTTTCATACGACTCACCAACGACAAAGTTACGCAGCCTGTACACTATGTCAGAACTTCTATTATTTTATTTGTAGCCATTATTACTCTTTACGCGTTCATCGCTTATTTCAAGTTTTGAGCTGGATAAAGATATCACCTTTTTGATACTTAAAGTTTCTTAAATAAATATATTCAACTTACAAAGATATTTCTTTTGGAATCAAAGACAAAACTTCGGCAATTGAATCTCTCAACTTGGAAAACTCGTCTGACTTCAACAAAGCTAGTGCTTCTGGTGCATCGAAAAGTGGCTGGCCGAAATATCCTATTTTACACGATACGATCTGTAAATTTGTTTTTGAGTTTTGGAAGATATTTGAAGAAAAGACTGACAGCTTCCTCAGCGATTCCAATATCAACGGAAACATCATGACTTTTGATACTAATCCCACCAATATGAGCAGCGACGACACAATTTTCCCTGAAGAGTATTGCGTTGAAAGAAATTTACAACCGAGCAACTGACCCCAAACCATCGGCTAGACTTTGAATTTTTCGATTGAGACTTTCATCTTTATCAATTGGTAAATGTGCTTTCATAAAAGCGAGAGAACCGAGAACATCGAGTCGAATACTAGCTTCCAAAGTGTGATGTTTCTCCTGTTAAAATCGAACAACCGTTCAGTTTTCTTGAACGTTGAGCTTCTCACCTGTAAATTCCGACGAACCGATCTGGCAAAATGATCCCATCCAAGCTTTTCTGCATTTTGTCGAACACTTTCCAATCTTAAATCATTATCGATCGACTCCAGGTTCAACTCATGACTTTTCCGCTCCTCAATTATCATGATAGGCTCTCCTACCTGAAAACATTCAGAAAATCTACAATTCTGCTTGAAAAAACGAAAAAAAACCACAAAAATTGATTTACTTTCTATTCAGAGAAGTGTAAACTGCCAACGACACTCCGCTATCCCGCCGGAAGAGGACTAGTCCGCGGAGTTTTCTAGGTCACCAAGTAGGCAAAATAGCGGTCGCTTGAAATATGTGTCTGTAGTTATACTCATACTTGTAACGGGCCGGGCCGGGCTTTTTCCCGAATTTCGGAGGCCCGGCCCGGCCCGGCGGGCCTGTCATTCCACAAGTTTTGAATATTTCAAATTTTTTTTCGAGTTTTGTTGATATTTTTTTTATCAAACAGACAAACAATCCAAAAACACAAAAAATAATAGAGAAAATTGTATAGAGAGCTCAAAATTTGGCTCAAAATGACAAAATGTTTGCTACCGGGCCTTCCGGGCCGGGCCGGAATTTTACAAGTATGGTTATACTCTCCTTACCCAGCTTTCTACAACATCAAGTAAATACAGTTATGATTCCGAAAAGAAACCTGATCAAAAGTATTCAGTACTCAAGGCATTCTAATAGTGTTTTTAATTCGATGAAAACTTCCATTTTGTGCTTGTGATGTCTGTCAGTGGCTAATGTTTTATTCCTTAGTATTTCTCTGATTTATAATTACAAGATCAAAGTGAGATTATTAGAAAAAGTTAACAAATTGGTAGTTGAGATGTCTATTGACTAATCCTCGTCGTGGTGCCTGGTACGATGACGCCGAAGCGTCTTGATATCCTGATCACGTTGAGACATCTGTTCAGCTGCCATATCTCGATCGCGACGATACTCTTTGTAATTCTGGAAATAGGATTTTGTATCAATCAACATATTATCCTAGAAACAAACCAAATAGGCTTGGGGTCTTTGTCCCGTGCTCGCGCGAACACAATAGAACAAATCATGAAGACAAGTTGGAAGATACGTTTGTTGAAGTCCAATGTTAACAATGTTATCTGCCCTGAACATAGTTTCAATAATTCTTTTGTATAATGGATTATCCCCTCACCGATTGTATGGGTAATGTCCCGAGCGAGCAAACTTATAATCGTTTTCCAGTTGAGCCATACTCGCAGGTCTTCCATCGAAGAACCCAAGATAGGTGGGTGGATAGTAGTTCGGATAATACCAGTTTCCAAACTGACCATAGTCTCGAGCTGTATTTTCATTATAGTAGATATACTTGGGAAGAACTCGTGGGAAGTTTTCATATGTTCTCTGATAAAATGTGTCTGCCACTTGTCTATTTGTAGTGTCAGCAAGTTTTCCAGGACCAGGACCCCCTCCACTGAAGTTGCAGTCAGCGACAAACTGAAAATTGAAAGATTCATAATCGAACAGTTCACTTCAATCTGTATCTGTTTGATGTTTTCGTGTTTTTAAGGATTACAATGATTCTAAAAGTTGTTACCCACAAAAACTATCATAATGTCGTTATTGTCTATTCAAAATAATCGCGCGGGTGGACGAGTAAAAATGTCTGCGTCTCTACAGCGCCTCTACAGGTTTGGAGACTCTCTACATGTTTTTTTACTCGTTCACCCGCGCGATTATTTTGAATAGACAATATTCGGGTACCTCCAAAACTCAAAAGGTCTTCGCGAAAAGTCGGAGAATGAGCCAATCTGACTGAAACTTTGGGGAAAACTAGAGAAAAGTATAGAAAACATATTGTCTAAATATGGGATCAAAATATTCACTTTGAAAATTTGACTGGAATTATAGACAAATTTTTAAACCGCCATAAGAATATCTTCACACACCTGTACCACATCTTCGCATGACATATCTCTGGGTCTTGGTTGAATTTTGTCACAATTATTTTTAGACCACGAGAGAAGTGTCTCCGGAAGTGGATTCCATCGTTCAGCAAACTTTGCAAAAGAAGCACACATTCTGGGAGATGGAGCGGCGGAAGTGATTGCCACGTGGCATATAAGAAGTGTTAAGAGATGTATGATCATCTGTAACTGATTTTTTAGGTTAAAAAGGTTCTCAATCAAAGATGGTCATGAGATGGAAAAGTTAAGAAAGGAATCAGAAAAAAAAGAAAACCAGGCGAAGAAGAGAGAAGTAAAAGGAGAAAGAGAATAAGATGTAATCAAACGAGAAAAATAATCGAGAAGATAGAAAAATAGGTGATGAAGAAGAAGAAAACCGATGATTGCGGTCTTGATTAGAACAGTTTAAAGACACTACGAAACTACAAAAATGACTTAGGCATTAAACACTCTAATAGAGTGACACCGAAATTTGCACCTTTGAGCCGATGTAGCTCATTCCCTGCTAAAGATATAAAAAAGTAGTCAACTGATAAAATAATTTTTATGTTATGATAAACATTTTCTCAGTTGACTAATACTTGATATCTTTCGCAGGAAATGAAATATATGAGCTCAAAGTGGACTGTTTGGGAGACACTCTATTAGACTGTTTACTTTATTTTTGTTTAACTATAAGTGAAAGAAGTTTGATGGTCGGTATGTTAAAAACATGTACAAAAAAAAACATGGTGGGTGCTTCTATTAGAGATGCTTCTATTAGAGGAAATACGGTCCTTGGGTTCAATAAAAATGTTTACGAGATTTCTGTGCCTTCAGGAAAAAAGACCAAAAACAGTCGTCTGTAAAGATAGACATGATTCCAAAAATGTTCAACACGAAATTTATTGACACCTCCAGTACTCCAGTAATAGGAATAGGAACATAACTCAATTTAGGAAAAGTCGAAAAAAAAGCCAAAAATGTCAAAATCAAGTCTTGTGCCCCCCAAAAATCGACCTCCCTTTCAACCTCAAGAAACGGGTTCCTCTCACAAAAAAAAAGAAAAAGAAGAAAAAGAAAAGGAAGAAAGTTTTTCAGAATTGTTACAGCGCGGACCGCCAAAGAACACGAAATTCTAAGGCATTGTCTTTTAAGTTTAACTAAAATATCGAGAAATGGGTTGTGAGGTCATGCTATTAGAATTAGGGTAGTATCCAAAAGAAGCACGCAAACGTAATCAATTCATTTTGAATAAAGTTTACAAAATATATTCCCAATTAAAACTTCAAAAAAGAATGAGTGACGAAGGAGGAAACGGATTGGGTCAAAGATTCATCAATTTAACCGACGGAATTGATTCTGAGAAAATTGATTACGGTATATTCTTAACTACCGTGAGACCTGTGATAGAAAAGTCCCCAGACTGTCAAGTTTGAGCTCAATTATCTCCGCTCATATATGAGATATCAAAAATGAGTCAACTAATAAAATGTTTGTGATATTATGATGAACAATTTATTAGTTAAAAACTTTTTTATATCTCTCACATGAACCGAGATAAATTGTCTCAAAGTGAAAAATCAGGGACTCTTCTATTACAGATTTTACGGTGCCTTTGATGAGAACCAATGCAATATGTTTTAGCTAAACTGGTTAGTAGTATCTGGAATTATATTCGTAGCTACACTCCCGATAGTCCACGTCCTCAGTTCAATCCTGAAGTGCTTGTAAAACTACTTCAAAAAAGCCAAGATGTCTTCAAACATGATGATATGGTTGTAAAAGTCAATGGACCTGCTTTAGTTTTTGGTCCAATTTACGGTGAAGGAGATTCAATGATAACTCTGATGAGCCAAGCAAAGAAGATTCCCCCGAATATCACTTATATCTTTCTTGGCTGTTATCTGGGTCATGGTTTTGCGCAACTCGAATGCATTTTCTTTCTGATTGCCTACAAAATGTTGTACCCGGATAAAATTATCCTTCTGAAAGGACATCACGAAGAATCGATTTCAATGGAAATGTTGAAAGTGAAGGATTGGCTATACGCAAGAGGAATCACTCAAGAAGTTCATCTGGAAGAAATTCTAGTTGAAATGAAAAAGGCGTGCAGCATGATGTCCGCAGCTGCTCTTATCAACTCAAAAATTCTCTGTATGCCCGGAGGACCTGGTCTGACACTGAGAGAAAGAGGACTTAAACCATTAATGTCTTTGAAGAAAGGAATGCAATCCATTGCAGATAAGAAGTTGATGATGGAGGCAGCCTGGTCTGTTTTACTTGTGAATGAAGCACAGAAGGATATGCATGGAATGCCTTTTTTCACTGCTGTAAGTTAAAACATCATCCAAATCAGTGACATCTGAAGGTTTTCCATGAATCACATATGTTTCGAATGGGTCTAACTATATTTGTTTTAATTCTTTTAGCAACAAGCCACCGATTTCTGCAAGAAGAATCGTCTGAAGTGTATCATCCGCGGACGTCAGATGGTGGACGAAGGATACTTGAATAAGCCAAAAGAAGTGATCACTCTGATCTCTGCAGTTGCCTATTTGGACAATTTCCGTAACTACGCAGCTGCATTGCACATTGACAAAGACAAAGTAGTTTTGAACTTCGTTGAATTTCGAAAGATTTTAATTTGTAGGGAAAAGTGATTCGCTACAAGATGGAGGAAGGTGAACAACTATCATTGGAATTGGTGAAGCCAGGAATGGGAAGAAATGCGGTGGTTTGATTGATGATTGAACTTATTTATTTTATAAATGAAATTGATGCCTTGAATTTTTAACAAAATTTAACTCCATTCTGCTCGTTGCATCCAGTTGAATCAGTCATCATGAGAACCTAAATTTCTGAATTATTCTTTCGACTAGAAATATTCTTACGAAGCATAATAGAAGAGTTACAAGAAGACGGAATACTTCAGAGATTCTATTATTCATGTTGACACTGTCAGTGAAGAACCAATATGATGTACCTATTTATAATGGCAGGAAAGTTATTGCATCGTTAACTATTTATTACTTTCATAAATTGAAATATAAAAAATGCAAATAAAATGGATGATTGAACAGAAATATGACAATCGAAAATTAAAAACCATTAGGAGCTAAACCGAGATCTTCTCCCCGAAGAAACTCATCGCCTCTAAAGTAGTTACTATCATCGATATAATTATCATATCGATGTTCTCCTGTTGTAGCTTGATCCGATACCTCGCCCTCCTCTTGTTTGCAGATGTTGGCACATTGTTGAGCAACAGATTTTTCATACACAACTTGCCTGATTTCATCCAGCAATGTATTTCTCTTTTCCTGCCGTTTATGTTCAGAAACTCTGTTCAGATAATTGTTGCACTTTTCGTGAGCATCGAACCTGATGGACGCACGGATGTGATGACTGAAAATCATTTTTATTTAACAGTTTGACAATAAAATATATGATGCTTACGTAAATGGCTTTTCCCATAGTAGAGCTTCGGGAAGCTTCTCGCGCTTGTCAAAAAGTGCAGGATGATAATTTTTCACCATAGATCGACTTGAGCCATGAATTGATTTATACGAACTGAAAAATGGTTGTTTTAAAACGAAATTTTCTAGAGATTTTCATTTACTTATAGCTCGCTAGTTTCTCGGAGTAAGGAATATTTTTAAGCTCGGTCATCTGCGAAACTCGTTCTCTGGCATTTCGCGATTGGTAATATGCGAAACTGTGTGAAATGATGTCAGCCTCATCTTCCGATTCATCTGTAAAATCGTCATCCAACTTCATTTCTTCAAACATCTTTCTCAAGGCTTTTGAATTGATTTCAGCGTCGTTCCAATCGATTTCAGTTGTGATTTCCTTGAAAACAGTCATTCGAAAAATTAATGTATTCTAAAAATTAATGTCACTAACCCGTTGGGAAGTACCAAAGCTGGTAAATGTATCACAACTGTACTCAATAGCCATTTCCGGATGAAGTCGATTTATTCTACGTCTTTTGTTGTTTCCAGCTACTTTCACCTGCAAAATTGAATTTAAAACTGAGAGAAAGGGGCTACACTGACCGTTTTTCTACGATAAAGGCGTCTCCTTCTCTGCTTGGGAAGACCAGCAGACTCGTAATCACATACGATTTCATCGGTATTTGATGCTTGCTGGTAATACTTCTTTTCTTTCTTCAACAGTCGTTCCTTTTTCGTTTTGCGATCGACATTAGTCTGAGCCAGTCTAATTCTCTGCAAGAATATCATAAGAGAGCTTCTCACTCATCCAGTTTTACAGTTTCATCATTTTTTTCTTCATCTGAAGAATCGGTATCCAAACGTTGTCTTCTTGAGGGATTTTTCTCAATTTCTCTTTCATAGTCATCCTCACTATCCTCCGCGCTGCTGCTGCTTATGCCATCCGAATCAGTATCCGAAAGAAGAATACCCTGATTGTCATTCAATACCACATCTTTAACATCGTCTTCCCCCAAATTATCATCAGTGGGGTTGTATTCTGTTGGTTGTACAGATTTCTTCCCGGCTCTTTGAGTCAGCAGTGCACACCATTTGGGATTGGTCTTGTATTGAAGATTATTGAATTTCCTTGTCTTCGGGATAGTGTTTCTGACAGTTTTTAAATCTTTGAGAGCAATTTTTGCCAGGCGAGAACTGCTCCGGGTGGCGATTGACTTCTGTGAAAGTGCTTCCTGTTTACCAGTTTTTGGTTTTTTTATTGTACATGAGTTCACTGAATTTTTTCGGTTTGGTGGCATCTGAAAATTATGGTGTTTAGTATTAGAAATCAGTTGTCATAAAATTAAGTGGAAACATGGAAATATTTGTTTTCAGACGAACAATACCAAATTAAAGGCACATCAGTTCGAAAGGCGCGCGGGTCTCGAAGCGGTTTCAAAGATTACCGTATTTGTATTTTGCGCAGCTCGATCGAGATGAGAAGACTGTTTTTTTTTCAGTAGTTAAATACCTATTACCTATTAAAGACCAGCAATATTTATAATAAAAAATGTACAGTCCAAATGACGAATTCCGACAAAACGAGGTAAATCAAATATGCATTGATACAACAATCATACTTTTTCAGTCTCTTTTCAACGACGAGACGCTGAAGGCCAAAAACAAAGTGGACTCCCTAATGGTTCTAGGAAACTGTGTTTGGGTAGTGACTTCTACGATTTTACGCGAAAGAAAACTGTTTCCTGCTGACACTTTTTCCCGCTTATGTGTTTACGGCAAGTTTTCAGAAGTTGGACCGGAATATAAAGTATTTTTCAGATAATGTTTACGGGTACGTGGTGAATGAAACATCGCCGGGAGGTGAAAAGCTGGCAGCAAAAATGTCGTTATTGTTGGATGCAATAAAAGCTGAGCGAATTCATGTAAGGTTTTAATTCATGCTACAATTTTAAGCTCTCATTTCAGAAACTTGCACTCGTTTTCGAAAAAACACTGAATACGGACGCTTTGGAAACATTTGTTTGGAACTTCGCATACGGTGATTCAGTGCTGGCTGAATTTGAGTCTCCTGGGTATGTTTCTTTCTGGTATTCCATTTCAATGCACATATCTGTTAAGGGGAAAGCAACGTTTCAAAGTCAACTGTCAGGATATGAAAGATACCTGCAGACAATTCTGCGATCTTTTCTCCAAGCTACGAAGTGTTCTCAAAAGTTTGGAACCGCTTCCAAAAGGACTGATTCCCTCTTTCCGAGTTGCTCATCGAGGAGGTGAGAAGTCCATAAAAAAGGTTTGTAAAACCCATTTTTCAGACAATGGCGCTATTGAAGGGTTTGAGCAAGTCCCGGAGTTTGTGAACTTGGATACAATCGAACTCGGCAATGTTCATTACCCTGCTGATATAAAGTTGGTTCTGATACGTGTTTTTAAATAATAGTTATACAGGTTCCATTTGGCATATGCGTCAAAGTTCAAAAAAACAGCCGAACCATGCGAGCCTCCGTTCGAGAACAACGCCGGTTCTCACAATAACGTTGACATGAAATTATATCAAGATGACAATGACGAGGAAATGGAGGTACATGATGACCAAATCGAAACCATCCGAGAAAACACGATGGGCCATCAAGATGAAGATGATGATTTCCAACAGCCTATTGATCACGGTAATATTTTTTAACGATGGTTCTGAATTAGAACTTCTGAATACCTTTTTGTATTACACGGGGTTGCAGCAGGGTACATAAAATTTGAATTCTCAGTGCTCTTGGGCACGTTGCGCCACGCGACGCGTGCCAAATCATCATTTTTGAATTGAAAATTCCAAAATTCAGCCGCGTCGCGCGGCGCCCAAGAGCACTGAGAATTCAAATTTTATGTATTGTCGAATTAAAAAAAGTGGACCTCACATGGGTTCAAGCGAGGGGGTCAGAAAGCGCGCCCCAGTAAATTTAGGAAAAATTCTAAATTCCCTGCCGAATTTCGTTGGCAGAGTTTCACGGTTTTAAATGAAGAGCGAAAAAGCGCGCCTTGCAACCAGTTGATTTTGAAGAAATAGATCATGATCTAGATCAAACCCGCGTCCACTTTAAATTTCTTAAATCTCTTCTGGCCTACAAGTTTGCTGGGGCGCGCTTTCTGACCCCCTCGCTTGAAACCAAGTGGGACCTGCGAATTTGAAAGGCGTCGCTTTTTTTGATCTACGTAAAGTGCGACAAAAACGTAATATTTCAGAATTTTGGCTCGTTCGAGCTGCTTTGCAATTAAGTTCGGTTTTTCGATGAAAAACAGATTCTAGAGATGCTAGCGATCATATTCATACCAAGAAATCTAAATTTTGTTCAGAAAATCCCATTGAATTCACAGAAATAAGTTTCGTTTACTACTGTAGTGATTTTGAGGCAAGGCCTCGAAAATTGACCGGGAAGCCGCCCGCGAAATTTTCCAGGTCCCACTTTTTTTAATTCGACAATACCCTACTGCAACCCCGTGACCGAATGTTATCTGCACAGACATCAACGTTATCAGCGAAATTCTCATCCAATCTCTCTGGTAACAACTCTGCAGTTTCTGCTTCAGAAGACTTGTGAGCGGACGCGCTAATGCGATTACTCCGGCGAGAACTTTTCTGAAGTTATAATGTACTAAACTACCGTAAAACCTCTAATAGAACGACACCCGGATCGTCCACTTTGAGCCTATATATCTCACTTCTTTTGAAAGATATCAAAAAGTGGTTAACTAGTAAAATGTTTATCAGGATATCAGCAACATTTTACTAGTTAGCCACTTTTTGATATCTTTCACAGAAAATGAGATATATAGGCTCAAAGTGGACGATCCGGGTGTCGTTCTATTAGAGGTTTTACGGTAAATACTATTTTGTAACTTACTCTTTGGGGATTTGCTTCTTTTTTATTGCGCAAGAGAGATTTCTTGGATTATCTCCTTCCGTAATACTTATTACAGAATATTACAGAATAATACGTATTACAGAAGGAGATAATCGCATAGTTGAAGAACCTGACAACTCAACCATGGATGAAGCACAAATAAATCCAGTAAACGACGCACCTGCTGATGAAATTCATGAAAGCGGAGAACCAATGGACGAGGAAACTACTTATTGTAACCCCAACATTGGCGATGAAATATCTCACCAGGCGAAAAACGAAGATAATGAGAATTTCCGAGACAATGGATTATCCCCGACTCATACTAGTCCAGTGGGCTCTAAACTCCGTAAAGACTCGATGAAGAAAAAGAGGGAGGTGAAATCGAAAGAGAAGACGTCAAATGCCAAGAAATCTCTCTTGCGCAATAAAAAAGAAGCAAATCCCCAAAGAGTAAGTTACAAAACAGTATTTAGTTTAGTACATTATAACTTCAGAAAAGTTCTCGCCGAAGTAATCGCATTATCGCGTCCGCTCACAAGTCTTCTGAAGCAGAAACTGCAGAGTTGTTACCAGAGAGATTGGATGAGAATTTCGCTGATAACGTTGATGTCTGTGCAGATAACATTCGGGAGTTTGGACGAGTCAAGAGCGTTTTTGCAAACGAAGAAGCTACGACAGAACATCCTGAGACCAAACAAGAAAAAAGCATGAAGGTCTCGGATCAATTAACGTCTGCGGATAAAAGATATGGGTCTAGCGCAGTTTTTGGGACTCAGTGTCGCGAAGAACACGAAGAGTCGGAGCCACGTGCTCATACAACGCCTCCGGAGGACACACCCAGACGTTACGGTCGCATCTCAAGCATCCTCAACGAGTCAGGAATTATTTCTATTCGAGAAAAACCCAGCGATAGTAACCCTCGCGTAACTTCAAAACGAAAGTTCGGTCGTTTTGCGAGTGTTCGTAGTCTCCAAACTAGCAAAGAGAAAGCAGCAGAGGGTCAAGTCATGCCAATGTTAGCTCAAAAGGACGTTCAACACGCTGCTGCAAACGAAGAAAATGAGCAAATGGAGATCGGAGACATGGTATCTGTTCTTGATGATGAAAATGTCCAGCAACCAGCAGTTGCCAACGATGAAGTTCGGATTGAAGCTTCCGCCAGATACGGGAGAGTTTCCGTCCTATCAACTGAGACAAAGTTAAAGTACAGCCAATCCGCTTCTCTTCGACCAAAATAACTATTAATGTCTCAGGTTATCTGTGCTATCTTAGCTCTGTTTTATTTGTTTTTTTCACCATTATTTTTATTGTAGTTATGCATTCATATAGTAAAGCTTTGATTAATTTTTATTGACCCGAAGTTTCAATACAAATCCATTAGATTTGCTTTCCTCGTGTAGGCAGAACTGCACCTCGCTGAAAATAAAATTGAAATTCTTTAGAATTAGTTACACTAAAGATAATACCAACCTTGACTTCTCCTATTTGTTTCGCTTTCAATTCTTTTGCTCTCTCCAGTTGTTCAGTCAATTGTGTTGCATCCACTCCAGTGAGCTTTTGAAACATTTGGACCAGATGTACGGGATCCACTGTTTGGAGAGCGGCCGGTCCCCACTCATATCGGAATACTTCTTCCTCGTTTTCATTCATAGCTTTGGTGAAAGCAAGATAACCCTTTCTGATGAAATCTGCACGTGCGTTGGGAGCGATCTGTTTCGTCAGAAGTTCCATGTGCTCACTGGTTAGCTTATGGTCAGGGTGAGTCGACATCGATGCTTCCTGTTTATTACTGTTTTGCTAGTATCAAAGAAACAACTCACCATGTAGCTCATTAGTTCCTCATGTGTCACTCCTGGATGTGTTGAATTCGGTTTGGTGGCCACAAAAATGTACATAAGCGCATTTTTAAGAACTCCAAGAGTTCTTTCAGTTTCACTCGCCACGTTCGCCTTGAAAGTCTTCTGTTCGTTCAAATTCACATAAGTTAGACGATCGTCTTGCAACACTGCCTGAAAATTAGTTCTAAATACTGAAGCCTAACAAATATTCTCTAACATCCCATCCTTGCCACTGGGCCAAATTTTTGTTAACGATCTTCAACATTTCCTGGAGGCTTCGATATTGAATTGATCTGTTCTTCATGACGGCTTTTTGATAGAGCTTTCGTAGCTCGCTGACCTTCACAACTCCTTTATCGCTCTGGACATGGTCTTATCAGTTAGAACAATGTAAGCATTGAGAAAACTGACCATGCCGTGAATGATCCAAAAGAATATTTCGTAAGCAAGAACGTCTTCCTGAAAGAACATCATTTTGCGAGATATTTCGCAACAAGTCTTACTTCTCTCGAAGTTTGAGCTTCATCATCAGTTTCACTCATCTTCCCGACTATGAAAATTGTACTTTTATCGTAATCGAGGAATTAAAGCTTTTCGGAATAAGATATTCACAAATGGGGGGGTTATGCATGATTTGTTTTTTAAATACAAAAAAATACGAAAAAATACATAAAATACTTTTTTTCGCATGCATGCATTAACTTTTTGTGTTAAAAAATTCCAAAAAAAATACATTTTTTTTGTCATGAATAACCCCACAAAAGACACAAGCGAAAAGCTCCCTTCCGGGTGGAATTATTTCCAGTTTTTTTTTCGTTTTCCAAATATCTGTGTCAATTTTTTACCAATTTTTGCGCTTTTGTGATGAGAAAGTAGGTTTTCGCAGCTGTTTCTTGAGAAGGATATGCTGAGCTCTAAATGAGCATCGCGATCTAAATTTGCAAAATTTTGCCAATAAAAAGCAGAAGCAAAACTTTTTTGAAAACTCGATTTTTAGCGCGGTTGCGTACGAATGTATCGGAAACGACGCAATGGTGCAGACAACTGTTGTAAACTTGAGAAGCCTTTTTGGAGTTCTTTTCACCGGAGTTTTTTCCCTTTTTCCCTGAATCCCTTTGCTTCCTGAATTTCATTTTTGACGTTAAAAACGATACAGCTTTCCGCGAAAACAGCTAGTGGGTGTGTTGAATGAAACCACTCTTCATTGTATTTGTTGTCTGTTGAATTTAACAAACAATTCAAGCTGTGCTTAATCAAACATTTCGAGCTTTCATATTCAATAATAGTTTTAATAAGCGAGAGAAACGAATTTTAAAAATCTTCAGAGGCTGCTTCAGTTGTATTTTATAACATCTCCGGCAGTGTGTGCTATCGGTAAGGTTTCGGTAAATTTACCGGTAACTTACCGGTAAAATACCAGTAAATTTTTACCCGTAAATTACCGGTAGAGTTATCGGTAAATTTACCGAAAACTACCGGTAATTTTTAGGAAAAATTTATGTTTTTTTTCAAAATTGTAACCGCGACTTTTTAGAACCGCGAAGTTTTAAAACCGCGACATTTTAGAACCGCGACAATTTAGAACCGCGACGTTTCAGAACTGCGACGTTTTAGAACCGCGACGTTTCAGAACTGACCATTTCAGAACTGTTGCAAAACTGTCAAAAAAAAATAGTGAAACAGCAGAAAAAAAACATTCGTGTAGTCCTCGAGAAAAGTAAAAATTTTACCGGTACTTTACCGGTAATTTACCGATAAAATACCGGTAAATTTTCGGTAGCTTTCAAATTTACCGGTAGGTTACCGGTAAATTTCGGTAAATTTTTACCGGTAAATGTTGAGGTACTGTATTAAAGGCACGTGCAATAATTTTAAAAATACAGTAAGGTTCTCTCTGTGGGAGCTAAGCTCCGCCCACCGTTGTTTTCTCGGCCGCAACGTGCATTGATTTCGGACAAGAGTAATAAGTGAAAATCGGAAGTCACACACTGATCTCCGCCATCGTTAAACTCAATTCCTTCTGACTTGAACCGCTATATTAGATGCTCGATTCAAAGTTCGTGACTTTTCGCTCAAACACTGCTCTCTTTCCGCGCGGTTCAATGCGCTCATCACACATCGTTTATGTTTTCTGTCTCATTCCCTCTCATTGTTCTCATTCAACTTTAAACCTAAATTTCTTTTGATGTCCTTCACATTCATCCGTTCTCCTATCCTCCTGACTCTTGAAATCCGTAGTTCTAGGAACACAGTTTTTTTACATCGGAATTATTTTCTCTCTCTGTGAGGTAAATGATCATTGTGAAACAGCTGGCAATACTATTGCAATAAGCAAGTATAGCAAGAGCGTCAGCTGAGAGATGATGTAATAGGAAGCGCTGTTCTCGTCAGTTTTATTTGGGTTTGCGATGCATGGAAAGTAAGCGTAAAGATTTATCATTCTTCCCCTGCTCAGTACGTTCTTAGAATAGTAGTGAATATTAAAATATTCTCATGAAATTTCAGTCGTTCTGATCTGATGTCGCCTTCAAAGTTTATTATTTCTCTTTATCAGATACACATAAAGAATCGCAGTGATAAGAAAAAGGATAAGCTGGTTTATGATGCGTTACACGGCTACCAAGCTAGCGATAGCAATTTTCGCACCTCTGTGTATCAGTTCCTTATAGTCCAACTTTACAACTCTTGTATTTCTAACAATATGTTTATTTTCATATATTATCATCAACTTTGTTCTCCTCATGACTTTTGTTTCCTAAACTTTTTCATAAATTCCTCGCACACTATTTATTGAGATCTGTTCTTATTTTGTCATCGAACTGCAAACAGCTGTTTCACTGTCCATTTTCTCTTCCTTGCTTGCACTGTCTCTTCATTGCGTCCAGCGCTTTCCAATCTGTCTTTATAGAAAACCGCTTCTTCTCTAGGCGTTTTCATTGCTGTCTCCGAAGTCAGGCACAACGCGTTCGAAAAACTTGGTCCGTCTTGTGTTCGCGACGATTAATCGCAACAAGACGCAGAATCTTATCCCAATCAACCTTCTGCAATTGCGAAGTCACCAAACTTGCGGCATAATGGATCCGAATTTGAGACCAGGTAAAAAACTTTTTTGTTCAGAAATTCCGTTATCAATAATTTCATTACAGTTGCCGTCAAACGGTCCCAAAAACAATGGGATCAACCGAAAAATGCCTCGCCGCCACCTCAATTAACAGTTTACAACAGCTTGACTCGTCAGAAGGAAGTTTTTGTTCCAAATGAGGGGAAACGAGTGAGTTATAGACGACATGATTGACGTAAATGCTGTCCCGTTTCAGGTCAGATGGTACATTTGCGGACCAACAGTTTATGACTCATCTCATATGGGACATGCACGGTCCTATCTGTCCCTGGACATTCTTCGACGAGTTTTTCGAGATTATTTTGGGTATGATGTGGAGTTCATCATGAACATCACAGACGTCGACGATAAAATCATCAAGAGAGCTCGTCAGAGTCATTTGCTCAAGTCTTACTTCAACGAGTCGCAAGCTCCATCGGTTGTCAAAGTCTGTGAAGATGTGGTTGCTGCACTTGAACACTTTGACAAGAAGTTTGAGAATGAAACTGATCCCGACAAAAAGAAAATGCTTGAAGTTATGATCAAAAAAGTCAAAGAACAATCTGATGCTCTCGAGAAAGCAATGGAGGCTCAGGATCCTATCGCCACGGAAGAAGCTAAGGTATTTTACTAGACATTTCCATTTAATTTTTGGAATATAATTTATACATATTCAAGGGTCGTCTGCTCAATGAGTCTCGTGATGTTCTTTCGGAATGGCTGGATCACAATCATGGAAAAGATGTCAGAGACCACAGTGTTTTTGATGATCTTGCTAAGACGTAATTATTCAATGTCTCATATTGTTTTTATGAATATCTCGTTGCAGTTACGAAAAAGAGTTCCTTGCTGATATGGCTCGATTGAACGTTCTCCCTGTCGACGTCTTGACTCGTGTCTCTGAATACGTTCCGGAAGTTATCACCTATGTGAAGAAAATCATCAACAATGGCTATGCATACGCTGCTGAAGACGGAAGTGTCTATTTCGATACAAAAGCTTTCGAGCAGAATCCAAAACATTTCTATGCAAAACTTGTACCAGAAGCTTACGGTGATGACAGTGAATTGCTGCTGAAGAACATGCGTGAAGGTGAAGGGGAATTGAGTATGTCTGACGAACGGCTCAAATCAAAGCGTAACCCGACAGATTTCGCTCTTTGGAAGTCATCAAAAGATGGTGAACCTTTCTGGCCATCAGAATGGGGAAATGGAAGACCGGGTTGGCATATCGAGTGCTCGGTCATGTCTTCCGCCATTTGCGGATCGAAGCTTGATATTCACGCTGGTGGCTTCGATCTGAAATTCCCTCATCACGATAACGAAATCGCTCAAGTTGAGGCACATTATGATGATCCTCACTGGGTCAACTATTTCCTTCATTGTGGAACTCTTCGTATTCAAGGAATGAAAATGTCCAAGTCTCTGAAAAACTTCATTACTATTCGCAAAGCTCTGGAAGATTACACTCCACGACAACTGCGCCTTCTTTTCTTGATGCACAATTGGGCAGATGTCCTGGACTACAGGTATTAAAAATTTCAATTCGAGAAACTTATTTCCAATTTATGTTTTAGTTCTTCAACTATGGAGCGTGCTCTGCAGTTTGAAAAAATCACCAATGAGTTCTTCCTCCTCGTCAAGGACTTTTTGAGAAGACACTACAAACCAGACAGATCAGAAGGATATCAAAAATATCAAGCCAGAGAACTGAAACTCATGGCTGAGTTTGGCAATCTAAAGTCAGAAGTCCATGCGGCCCTCTGCGATTCTGTCGATACTAGAACTGTCATTGAGAAGTTCCGTGAGCTTATTGGTCTTGGAAATGCCTACATTGCTGAAAAGGAGAAAGAAGGACTTGTTCCCAATTGCCTTCTCTTGAGAAATATCGCCGCCTACATCACGAATCTTCTCAAAATTTTCGGAGCCATTCCGCAAAGCAATCAAGAAATCGGATTCATTTCCGAAGACGAGTGAGTTTTATGGGGTTATTCATGTAGCGAAAATATGTATTAAAATGCATTTCCGCGCCCTCGAAATTCAATGCATGAGCGTCGCGAAACGTATTTCAAAGCATTTCGCGACATAACTGTAAATGCATTTCAATACATCGCGTGACGAGATATCTTTTCTGGAAAAAGGGATGCGCCTTTGAACTTTGTGCAGGATGGGGAAAATCTTTCAAGGCGCATACCTTTT